ATAAAACTGTGTTGACTTTATATAGATACATTCCCCAGGCTTGATCCACACAGTGTAGTTTATGTGCATAGATCACAAATACTTCGTGCCTGGTTGAATTGGTCAGTAGCTCTTGTATAGTTCAGGAGAGCGTGTGTAGACACTGGAGTCTTCTCAATGCGTGTCCTCCGTACGACTCCCTGAGAGTTGGCTCATTCCCATAGTTTATTTGCAGTGAAATTTTGTGAGGTGGCCGACAAAAGGCATTGGACCGCTATTCTCCCGTTTTGGAGTTCAAATCCTTATCCCTAAACTACACGATTGATGACACACACCTTGAACACATGGAAAAATAATTGAATTAGATATTTTGTGGTGTTTTGTTGATATGAATTAACACAAAGCTAATTTTGTTTAACATTTCTTATAGTTAAATCTGATTCTCGACTAATTGCTTATTTGAGCCCACACAGCTGCTTCTGTTGGTACAGAAAAAATTCAAGATGAGCTTGTAACGCGTAGCACAATTGACTTGTCGATTTTGTATGAACAATGACCCTTTGCAGTAGTATTAGTAGTTGTATCTTATCTCGAACTTCCCTTAAAATGGTCGCATCCAATTTCCTTAAATTTTTCCATTTCAGAATCACCACAGTCAATGGGATACGGAATTGCACAAAGCGTGCGAAGAACTGAAAGAGCTAAAGGGTTCGTGGGATCGATGTACACACGAGATAACTGGGGGAAGAGAGTTACTGAGCAAAGCTCTGAAGGTAAGTTCAGTCAACCCCCAATTCTTGAATTGCCCTCGAAAAGTGGTGTGGTAACATCTGAGATAAAATCTTAAACAGTTCATAGCAATTCATGTTTTGGACTCTGTTCATCTGCACAACACCGAGGAAAGTTTTCGAACTGCTCCTTTTTAAAATAAATCAGTGGCCTTGAATCGACCGAAAAACAGTATTGAGAAAACAGTGTTAGTAGTCAGCTGGTATACCGATTAACTCCTAATCCCTTAGTCTGTTTAAAGATATTCTACTCATGAGTAGCCAAACGTAAACGATCAACATTTTTCATTCTCTCTGTCCTCATCAAACCACAAGACAAACCTGGACAAGATTTTTCAAAATGCTCACATTGCATATTCTCAAAATGCAACCCAAGTAAAATCCCCTGTCGGACGTGCGCATTTGGTAGGTACTCATTTACAGGATAACAAAAATATTATCAAATGAGGCAGGATCGAGTATTTTTCATTTTCCACTTTCAATGAAATTATTGTTTACTAGCTAACAAAGAACACAGGAGAGCTGTTTTGGGGGCTTATCAGCAGGGCAATCGATGACATTTTCGCCAAAATGGCATCAAAATATGGATTTGGTTGTCTTACGATCAATAAAGAATAGTTATTTCTTAAAAATGACGCAAAAATAAGCTGTCAATCTATCGTTTAAATTTGATTTGTTGTGAAAGTTCAAATTGCATAGATGTGTACCTGTTAACGTTCCCTTGAACCACCGATTTCACTCTCACAAATTTGCAAACTTAGGAATCCAATCAAGAAAACCTAACAAGAAGTATACAGCAGCTGAAAGATCATCACAATATCCTTGCCGAAGCCATACAGGAGCACGATGCGTCTTTGCTCCGTTTGATGACAAGTCTGTCCAATGTATCAGAATGCCATCGATCGATGCGAGTACCTGCGGCTGTCAGAGAGACCTCAGAAGCGTGAGTTGTTTGTTATGACGCTCCTTCGTAAAGTTTGTTGATAACCGAGAGTTATTTTTTTGTACACATTACCTTGGTATACGCTTATCAGTCGATACTTTCGTGATGTTTCGAATTTGTAACCGAACAGGGTACAAGGTGTATACATTTGAAACGTAGCGATTATTGAAATGGATGAAAGCCACCCGGAAAGGCCGCCTTTTGAGAAGCACTGGCTACGTGCTTCGACCTTCTCAAATCTCATCAACAATCTATTTCGTCTACTAATTTGAGGATCGAACTCTGAACCTCACAGGATGCATTTGTATTTTGATTTATCTATCTTCTGACTTTATTCATTTACCGCACGAAAAATGTACAGTTCATTCTCGAAGAAAGCTTTGTGATGTTCTTGGCGGTTTTTGATGCCCCAGATAAAAAAGGGTTCACTCAGTTAGTTTCATGCAATATCAAACAGCTTAGATTTGCGCTGAGTATATGCCCGGTATTCGTTTGGGTACCTGACATTGTATCAGTAGTGTTGAATGCTATCTGATTAATAAATAACTATGTGTGTTGCGAGGGGCTGGATGTTCAATCAAGTTCTAAAGCACGACAATAAACGTTTTAAAAAGGGAAGCAAAGACAGATCAACCACCTGGTATAAATACCAAAAATCCGTTAACATCTTGGGAGATATTTGGCTTCGTAAGCCGTCATCGATTTTTTTCGGTTCTGAAGTGCGAATTAATATGACCTCCATAGTTATGAGACAATGCGGTAACTCCAGTTCGCTGGATATCGCTAACCATGGAGCTGCTGGTTTCCTGATGGTCAACAACGTGCGCAAACTACGGACAGATCAAGTCGCACGTGGCAAGTTCGAGAGTACAGTGACGAGACGTGTCAGGGAAGCGGATCTTTGTATATATTATTTAGTCAGTTTGATCTCTACCAATAAAGTAATCAATACTTGCTTCCATCGTGTCAGTGTCGGGACTTGAATGAGCCGATTCTCAGTGTCATGGAGGATTCACTTCAGGATAGCTGTTTGGCTTTTGTTCAGAACTGCAATGTGCGTATTCCGGTGTCTGTAAATTTTCCATGTAGTCAGCAAGAAACTGTCATTAGTAGTATGGTATAACAGTCACAAAAGTGGAACTCTGTGAAAAAATTCTTTGTCCATCTCCGCAATCATTAATCTCGCAGCTCCAAAGCACTCCACTATAAAACCATAAGACTTATTTCAGGTCGTTGAGGCCTAGGATAGCGACCTTTTACTCTTCCTCAATTATGAACTCAATATTTGACAAAACAGACGGACGGACAGTTCAGCACCTGCGCATGATTCGTGTGTCGTTTGGCTATGCGTAACGTCTTATTGTTCATATGCGACAGTATTCTTTCTGTGATGCTCGTTCTTAGTTGTCCTACGATTCATTGCTCCTGATATTGTATCGCAAAAATTCACTTGCGGTTTACATGTTGTCCATTCCGTTCACAGTGCAGTTAGAAAATTGGCACAAGCAATGTTTGAACAATTTATTTTCAAATTTATCTCACCACGAACATAGTTCCCTAGTCATTGTCGCTCCATTTATGCGTACTCTCAATCCCCCCAACCAGAATCGCCATGCTTCATCTGTTGTCTAATATTCATCACGGGAGTTTTTCTTTTTTTTCGGAGACCAGATCTCCCATGCATCCCGGATAAAACTGTGTCCCTGAACTCACAAACCAAATAGGAATTTCTATTCCATACTTGGACGTGAAATGCTATTAGATTTTTCATTCATTACGTTCACTTGTTTTATCCCTTCCACTTCCCACCGATTTTGTTTTCTCGGCACATAGCGTAAGTGATCAAGTGCATGACGATCTGACGCAATCGATGACTGATCAATGTGCACATCAAGTTCCCGAGACCAAATTAATTCAAGTATGTCCCGGTTTTATCCGAGTGGTCAGTTTTACTACCCGGTTCGATTGGTGGTTTGTGTTGTTCCGGCAGACGTTTGAGAGACATTAGGAAGAGATCATAGGTGAGATTTGAACCCACACATAAAGGCCGCCTACACTCCTGTACAGTGTACACTCTACCGGCTGAGCGAGGAGGCGATGTCGAAAGCCCTAATATGTTCACATTTAAGCCCCCAGCGAACTGACACAGTCGCGTGGAATACACTAATTTAGCATGTGAGCTGGATGCTCTGAGAATTTATCAAACAGGTTCTACGGCTTAGCTCATTGAGTTCGTCAGTTGAATTCTTTCTTTGATATGAGAGCTTTTGAGGCAGCCCGTGTGGGTAGTTGGGGTTGGTGCTTGTGTGATGTGGATTGAGTTATCCCAGATCATATTGCTATGAAGCAATATGATAACGATAATGCAATATGACCGGAAGTGTTATAAGTTTGTATGTTACTAGTATCATTGAAAGAAGATTCACTATGGAACACTCACTCACTCACTCACTCACTCACTCACTCACTCACTCACTCACTCAACCAGTCAATCAATCAATCGATCATAGAAGACTGGACCCCAACGGGGAATGGAACCGCTAACCTTCGAGTTAAAATTCTAATCTTTTCACCTTGAACCACACAGTTGAGGGCCAACATTTTGGGCGCATTTCCATTGTTTCGTATACACACAATCACAAACAGCGTATAAAACCAAATCCATCATGTGCGACTGAGCCAATTATTCAATTCATCTGTCGATTCAAATGGTTTTCCTTATTGATGTTGCAGCTCGAAGCTGAACGAGACAGTTTGATGGCACAGTTACGCGATTTGCGGCGCAAATACCGACTACGAACTCGAGTTCGTCCGTCAGATGAACCAACATCCGCCGACGACGAGGATGAGGAAAACGAGGATGAAGATGCAGATCTTGGCGACCAAGAGCCGAAACGCAAAGTTGGCACCGACTGTGAAGAGGCAGATAGTGGGAACAAAACAGGTGATTCGACGGAAGAAACTGAACAATTTGGGGGACTGGAGGATCCAATGAGGCGAAAAACTTTCAACCTGCCCGGGACAAGCAGTAGCCGATATCGGGAGCGTCGCCGAAAAACTCGAGCCAGCCTTGAATCGGAAGTGATTCGACTGGGTTTGGAAATTGAACAGTTGGAGGAGACGAACAGACAATTAACTAATCAACTGACACAATCGCAAACCGAGTGCCGGGCTAAAACGGACGAGATTCAGGGGGTTAAACGTCAGTTAGAAACTATGAAAGTTCAAGCTGAGCATAACGTGAATGATGCCACAAAGTCAACTGAGCTCGAGGCTGAGGTCAAACGCCTCAAATTGGCTCTTAGTTCGGCTGAGTTGGAAACCCGCAAGGCTCGTCGTGAGTTGCGTGATATTCATGAAAATTTGAGTTCTACCGAACAAGGCAAATTGTTAGTATCGAAAATCAGCCACTTGGAAATCCAATTGACCAAAGCGACACAGGCCCAACAAACGGCCACCAGTCAGCATGAGTCACGTGTGAAACAGTTGGAGCAAGAACAGAATGGATTAACTCAACAGGTTTGTTCAATACTGTACACCAGATTGATTAGTCTTCACAAAACAGATTTATTTTCTTATTCATTCTAATCATATCTAACGCTAGAGAGAAAAGGGACGCAAGATATAGCACACTCCGTTCCTACCAAAGAACTTCGCGCAAACAGACAAGATTCAAATAAAAACTGTCACGTGTGGTGACGTACACGGGTCATGAGATTTCAAATCGATTCGCGCTGAGTCATTCAATTTGTTCTTGCATCGAATAATTTGATTCAACACACGCACGATGACGGTACAGCCGGTGTGATGGTGGTATCCGCCACACCACGTGATAAATGAGAGTGCATCTGTAGGTTGAACTGACAAAATTCAAGTTCATCATGAATGAGGTCTTTCACCGGAATAGAAGTTACACAAACCGGATACTATCTTGTAGTCGCCTATTAAGCGAATAATATAAATCATCTTTATTCCGTTCGCTAAGGTCCTCGAGCAAAACTAGTTGTTTCACTCAACGTGGAATCAACACCATGGGAAAACTACGGTTGCCGACGCGTCTTCAGTTGTGTTGACAAATGAAAGTTCTTGAGAAAACCATCGATAACCCGTATTTGTTTTGACCTCAAGAAATCACTTGTGATAGGTTTATATAAATCAGGAAAAACCTCTTGCTAATATTACGGAAATAATTTTTGGAGTAAATTATTACACGAAGAAGGTCATGTCATCAAATTGACTTACCTTACTTGAAGGGTTCAGTAAGGACATATTTAAACTGATTTACAAATAGTTTGAACTGACAGGTAATCAGAAATAAAATTTTACATTGTCTCTAACATTGGCTTTAGAATAATGAGCATCTAGCCAACACGGTGCAATATTCCTAAACACCTACTGAAACTAATGGTTCTCCTCGACTATAGCCATGGTGCTGTTAGACTTCGCAACTCTATGAGTTTAGATCATCACTGGCTTAACCACACCTATGTCGGCTGGATCTTAGGTTAATACATATATATAACAAACGTGCAACTTTATTGGTCCAAATGGAAAACCAGGAGAAATTAGACTTTCATATAGTTCTTTAATACTACTATCCATCCTTCCCAGTAGTGTATCGAGTCGTAGATAAAAAACAATCAAACATTTTCCGCCGCATAGTCTCATCCCCCTACTTTTGATTCCATTTCCCGGAACAGTTAAGCGCCGAACGGCAGACAGTACTCACCCTACGTGAGCAGTTGGTCGAGGCAAAAATCGAACTGCAACAACGAGGGAATACACTGAAACAATTCCAACTCGGTCTGGAGTCTTTGGGCGTGGACAAAGAGAAAGCACAGTCCGTGGTCGCGTCAGAACAAACGAACAGGTGAGCTTTAGTTTCTTAGAACGGCAATAATCTCGGCAAAGTTCGCCACGGAAATTCACAGTATCCATTTGCGCAAAACGGCTTATATATATAAACCCATCGATTGAAAATCAGCTAGTGTGGCAGGTGCGGATGCTGTTCCTGTTTTAAGGGAACATTCGAACATATTTCAATTTTTCCTAGATAACACTAGATATTTATGGTTGCAAGTAAATATATTTCTTAGGCAATGAACGTGGACCAAGCTTGTTATTCAGATTCCCAAAGTTTCCTTATCAGGCTAGGTGGGACTTTATTTGGAGCGTTTATCTGTGACTGTATTGGTAGACGTTGCAGTCATTTGATTGGTGCGTGTCAAGGTCATTGAGCGAAGCCTTGCGTGAGGCAGAGGTAGGTTAAACGTGTAATCAATGGTGATGGGTTAAGCTGATACGCGTCTTTCCATAAATGATGTGGTTTGAGCATAAACTTTGAGGATAGAGGGATGAATCATATAGACTACTGAAACCGTTACTTGGGTATCATGATAATAGAAGTTTACTCACTTGGGCCCGGGTCCCAAGGCGGTAATATTTGGACCAATTATATCAGGGAATTTCTCCGTTTGTGTTTTTGTTGCTGTTGCTTGTGTTTGTGTTTCTGCCAAACAGATGATACTTGTAAGCCTCTGGTTTCCATCCAGTTCAAAGAACCGGGATTCGCAGAGTTAGACGTGGATTTGCTGAATAGGGTACCCCTTGCTGTCAAGGCTTGAGTTGCAAAGATGTTACCAAATACTCGAAGTTTCTCTGAGAAGCATCGTGTGCACCATGGTGCTTTTAACGGTAATGATCACCGTGCCTCACACAGGCTGCGAGTCGGAATACACCAACTATTTATGTTCCATCACTACCGGTTTTTCGACCTTGTAGTACGTTTTCTGGGGCTGTTGCCAAGACGATCAATGAAGATTCAGCCGTCCCTTATCTCGGCTTCGAGATGAACTATTTGCTTTTGACTACAGCTGCCTTTGAAACGAATAGTTCCCTTACTTTTCCCTAATCAGGCAAATCAAACTTTGCTAAAAGTTGAGGTGCGATTTTACACTAGACGATTAAAGACGTTTGATGATTAATGCCAGTGGATTGCAGAAATAGGTGAATGCATAAGTGATGCCACAGACTTTTCTGTTTTATCACCGTGCAAAAGTGATTGTTGAGAATTGACGTCTTCACGTGTGTTGTCCACTTCGGCGTTTTTAATCTCCCCTGAGGTAATGCACTCCAATCCGTTCTGTTTTCCATTTTTACACAATAATCGCACGTGATCGTCTCAGCTTTTTATTAATCTGAAGCACGCGATGGACTGATAGAAGGATGAATAGATAGAGTGACGGATTTGGATGGATGGATAAACAGACCGGTAGCAGGACAGACAACCCAAGCGTGAGGAATTTCGGACAGGAGTGGACAGCGGAATCATCCAGATTCTCACGACCGTTGACCAAGCAAGCGGTCATGAGTGTGGGCATTTTATAGACTTACCGGTACACCCAATCGGTAACCTAGCAACGGATAGTAATTGGACGAGAAAGGTCATTCATATTTTCAAACGTGCAAGCATGCGTTGGCCCGCACGCGTGTGTGCGTGCGCGAGGAGTGCGCGCGTGCTACTGTGTACACGACAGTTGTTCAAACAAGCAAACTCGTACTCGCGTTTCGCAAACTGGGAGTCGCCGAAGCAGGTTAGGCACAGATGGTACACCAATTAACTTAACTGTACATTCATGCTACTCCGAATAAACAGATCTCTAGGGTGTTGTTCCAGTCTGTTAGGTTATTCGTTTCTCCAATCCGCAACGTCCTTTTCATCTGCTCGATTTTTTAATTATCCCACTATTCCGTTGTCCCAGTGTGACCCTACAAGACTTAGTGAACGGTCTTGTACAGCGTGCGGTGGAACAGAAACATGTGGAAGTAAAACAGTTGGAAGAACAACTTCGTCAATTGCGACAATCCCAGCCGACGAAGGAACCCACAACCGAAGGTTCCGGGGACATGTTGAATGGTTCGATGGGCGGTGAGAAACAGACGCAGTTGTTGATTCAGTTGAAAAATCGATTGATCGAATTGGAACGGGAGGTGAGTATGTGTGTGTGTGTATGTGTGATTTTGTTATCTGATCAGGATCTTAAAATGCGAATGCCGATTCATGCTGTTCTTGATTTTACCAGAATGTTATCTCGAATAAAATCACAACATTAACCAGTATATCAATCCATCTAAGAAAAAACAGCATAGATTAACCCTCATTTTTATATTACTCATGTTTACATAGTGGTTAGGCTCGATTTATGCCTGACGGAATCAGAGTAGCAGAAAACAAACGTAAAGAAGACCGCTAATGATGTGTAGAAATAAATTCGAGCTCCTGTGAACATAGCCCACTGATTTGTTCGTGTTTTTCTGATGATTAACAGGGCGTTGGCTTTCGGGTTCGATCCTATCTATGGGTTGGATGCACACCATGATTGAGACCTAAGGGGATCGAATTTGCCATGACAGGATTGCCTCAATTTGCCAATTTAAGTTTCCTGTGTACTGTACGTGTAGAATTGACCTCTGAAATACATTTGCTTAGTTTATCTGTCTTTTGACTTATCCCACCGTTTTTACATAGTTCTTAATTATTGCTAACGTGGGTCAACCCACTTCCGATCTACTCGAGATATCAAGATGAAGAAGCAACTGTTCAGATGAACATCTGTTCCATTGCTGGAAACCCTCCTCGAAATCACGAAAAGGAAATTTTTAAACTTTGGTCTAATGCAAAACTGGCGAGCGACCTACAGCCGTTTGTTCCCTTTTGTTCCGTAACATCAGCGGTGCACATCCTTTGACTCAAGCGGGATCGAACCTAGAACATCAAAATGAAATATGAGCGTACAGCGCACCTGAACACCGAGCAACTGATCAAACTGTTTGGGTTCTCCTTTACATTTACTCATCTTAGTACTAGAATTCATTGTTTGCGACTTGTTCGGAAAGTTTCGAAATCGGACTACTGTGTGCAGCAACGAACCCACCATTGACCTGATTCCGGCATTGATCTGTTTATGTTAATCGATAAACAGTATCGGCCGAATGTTTCTTTTCAATGAATGCTATGCTGACTGGAAGGTTTGATGTACTGCTGCAAAAGTACCGCCTCAGTGCACGGATGAGGTGTTGTGTCACTACTACTTTTTTTTCTTTACTTTCACTGCAATCCCATCATGAAGCACAACTTCAATGAATTTCACTGATCCTTAGTACAGATTATCTGCTTTTATTTTCCCCGAGCAATGCACCATGCACCATGACCGGAACGTCTATTGATTCATGATTTCAACAACGGCAACGGCACTTCTCATTCCTACCTACCTACTTACTGTTCCATTCCCCC